GACGATGCGTGCCCAGGATGTGAATTAGGGCGAGACACGACGGCCCATCGCCTGCACGAGTGCTCGGCGAACCACCAGCTGGAGCACGAGTGGGTGAGCAGGACTGACGGACTGTGCGAGACTGCGCAAAACGACCTGTGAGAAGGACGGAATGTCAGTTTCTGGGCCCAAGAGATCGCTCCCCCGCTTTGGAACCCAGCGCCCAAGCCCCCCGAATAGAACTCTGGTGAAGGCCAGGACGTTTGGGCCATTAGGCTTCCTCCTCCCACCCACCCGCCCCTGCCCGTGAGCTCTTCCCCTCCGACTCCTCCTACCCCCATCCAGGCCCAAGTAGGATTCCTCGACGGCTCGGCCGCGCCCAGCGATGCCCGCGCGCGCCGCGCGGGGCGGGCGGTTTGCATTCGTCTCGAGGGGGAGGCGGAGCTGGACGTCGACCAGGGCCCTCTGAGAGGACTTTTCGGCACCATCGATGGGGGGCAAACTGCGCCTGCCAGCGAGATCGCGAACCTGGCCTGGGCCCTTCGGGTTACCGCTCGACCGCTGTTGCTCTGGACCGACTGCAAGGTTTTTCCCCTGGGCTGGACCGAGGGCCTGGCGGAGAAACCAATTGGCCTTTTTGGTTCGCTGGTGGAATAGAGTTAGAGATGCATTGCGAATTAAGGGCAGCGGTAGAGTGGATGGTCGTAAATTTTTCTCGCAATTGGACGCTGATTCAAATTTAAGCGCAGGTCATTGCGTGCATGTCTCGAGGGGAAGCGAGATGGCGGATATGCTGGCCCAGCGAGGAGCTGAGGCCCCACCCCTTCCCATCCGATCGGCCATCGAGAGTTTGAACATCGCTGTCGCGAGAGCCACCGTCGCGCACCAAAGAATAGGGGCGATCCTGGCCCAGAGTCGCGAGGACCCTGACCGTTCCGACATCGGCGCTTTCGGCTTGCTTTCGGGGCCGTCCAGGCTTCAGGGGCTCGAGGCCCAGTCGGGCCACGTGCTCGCGAGTTTGCAAAACGGTTTGTGGCCCTGCAAACGGCGCCGACAGACCCCTGGTAGGTTCTCGCTTGCTGACTGGCTGAGCAGCAGCAAATGTTTCGGGGACTGTGCCAAGAGGGATCTGAACGAGCAAGGCCACCACGTCTACGTCCCCCCGCCCCCACCACACAAGTATCAGAGAGCGTCGGGCGGGGGCAAAGACGGTGCACCCCGCGCACTCGATCGCCATGAAGCAGAGCTTGGCGCGGCGCTGGGGGTGCGCCCGATGTGCCACCATCGTTGCCGGCAGTGGCCGTCTCTGCAAGCTTGCCCAAGAGTGCCCGCAGGTCCGCATTTGGTCTGGCAAGACCATGACCAATCGAATCCGCAAGGGACTCACTCCGAAAGCGGGGATGAGCTGGCCTGCTCCCCCCCTCGGGGGGAGGCGGACCTCCCTTGCCGGTGGCTGGCAGCTCAGTCAAGCCTTTTGGGGCGAGGACGGACGGGGGGGCCCCCTGGGGGGGGTGGAGGGGGAGGAGGAGGAGGAGGAGGAGGAGGAGGAGGAGGAGGAGGAGGAGGAGGAGGAGGAGGAGGAGCAGGAGGAGGAGGTGGAGGAGGAGGAGGAGGAGGAGGAGGAGGACACAGCATTAGAATGCGAGTCGCAACAGGCGGAGAGGCGCAGCAGCGCTGCGGCCTCTCTTTGCAAGCAGATTCCCAGCAGATCCCGCACCACCCCCAGGCCCACACATCCAGAAGTATGATTGGTTTCATGCGCGGCCCCCGACGGGGGCGGGCTGGGTTATTTTGGGCCTCTGGAGGCCCTCGCCGAGCCCCAGGAATGTGAAGAAACGTCTCGGGATGGAAACCGGTCCTGGGGAACGGGTCGGGACTCCGGGGGCGATGAGTGTGGGGAGAGCAGCGAGCGCTGCAGAAAAGGGGCCTCAAAAGGAGCCCTTTGGGGCCCAAAAGGACCCGAGACGTGCACCTCTCTTGCCCGCCCATGTGTCGCCCCCCCCACTAACCCCCCACTAAGCGACGCCCAGACAAGGCGAGACGCGAACAATTTTGGATCCCAGGGCTTCCGGAATTAACCATTTTGAGCAGTCTTTTGGTGGGGTTGTGGCCTATCTCTCGGAGGCACGTTGGAGGACATGGTGAGCCATTTTGGCCACGCGGGGCCAAGGTCGAGGCCCGGCCGAGTTTTCTCAGGCCGTCGTGCGGCCATGTCGGCCCAGATCCCTCGTCGCAAGGGCGCCACCGAGGTGCGGAATTCGTTCGAACACCTGGATCCCAGACGCCGAGAGTAATGCCCTTTTTGGGTTCGGGAGGGGCTCTGGTGTTCGGGGCGTTCCTTATAGATTCAAGCCAGTGAGTTTCTTCGTGACAAAGGTTTGCCGTGGCCACGAAAGAGCTTTAGTTCCTTATCCAGCATGTCAACTCCGCGTTTCTTAATAAGCGTGGGGGGTCCCTCTCCGACTGGGGGTCAACTCGCCTCATCGTCGCGCTGCGACGGGGGTCGGGGCGCCTTCGGTGCGCGGTGGCTGCCCGCGACGGGGGTCGCTGTGGGGTTGTCGGCGGGGGTGACGCCCCCCCCGACGCTTGTCAAGAAATTCGGAGTAACGGTAGCACGATGGTTGTACGGCTGCTCATTGAGTTTGCCCTGAAGCGCCAGGGGTGAGTACACCCCCGTTCAGGAAACCTCTAAGCGTGCACGGTGCACCCGTCAAGGGTCCGCCCTGCCAGAGGCTCTCTCCCTCTGCTCGGCGCTGCTTCTGGCGCGGGCTCTCTGGAGTTTCTCGGCCCGGCGCGTCTTGATGCTGACCCCACCGCCCAAGAGCAGCACGCTGGAACGGAAGCGGCCTGCATCGTTGAAGGGATGCAGCCCACGGCGAGGTCAGCTTCTGTGGATCACATCTCCATCCAGAGAAGCGGTCCCTGCCCGCTTTCCGCCTGTAGTGGCGCCATGGGAGCAGAGACCCTTTCTGAGGAGCATCTCAAGCCCGACCCGGGGTGCGAATCGACAGCCCCCTGCCACCGCGAGCGCCCTCCCTTCCAGCCCCTGGGCGCATGCGGCCTCAGAGCCAAGTCGGCGGCCGGCGTTCCGAGGAGAGCGGCGCACGCTCGCGCAGAGGTCATCCGACCGTGCGCTGGCTGGGCGGCTATCTCTCTCTCTTCTCTCTCTCTCTCTCTCTCTCTCTCTTTCTCTCTCTCTCTCTCTCTCTCTCTCTCTCTCTCTCTCTCTCTTCTCTCTCTCTCTCTCTCTCTCTCTGGAGCTTGGGAGACGAATCGGCGAGAGGCGCTTCGGGAAGAGCTGCGCTCTCCCCAGACCTCCGACGCTGTGGCCGTTGTCAATCCCTGCACGGTTCTTCCATTTTGGGCTCTCGGGGCTGTTCTTCGGAGAAGAAAGAGTGCCATGAACATAAATTGTTGGCGCTCGGCGCGGATTTCTTGGATCTGCGCTGGGACCCCCCTAGCGGCGCCTCCGGCGCCGCCCCTGGCGCGCTCCGCGCGCCAGGGAGGGGACTCAAAATCCGCGCGGACCGTCGAAAGTTAATGTTTATGTTGTTTTCTGTTTCTCTAGTTGTCCGGGGCCCCGGGGCCCTCAAGAATAGACCTAGGGCGAGAAGCTACCCCCGAGGGGAAGCAGTCCTGATTCCTCGGGCCGCAGATGGGATGACAGAAAAAAACAATGTATATATATATGTGTGTGTGTACACATATATACATGTACATACGTGTGTACAAATCTAACAAAAAAAACAGCAGTGAATAACACACATAAAAAAGTTGGATCTGCGGGGCGAGAGCGAACCTCTTCCGCTAAAAGCTAGGCGGGCTACGCACAGCTTTAATTAGGGAGACAGGGCACAGGAAGGCGGGGCCTCAGGCGGCCGGAGCGGGCGGGGCCCGGGGAACAGGCGGTGCCGAAGTGGATGTGCAGGAAAAGGTACGCCATGGACAGGGATTGAGGGCGAAGACCCGGAAGACGAAGGAAATGGTGTTGCCGTCAACGGCACTCCGCGAACACCAGCCTCAAGTACTGCAGGGGAGGACGCGCCACTTGACCAGGCCGACGCCCAGGAGGAAGAAGAGCACCACGAAGGCGATGAGCAACGTTGTGCCACCAGATGATGCAGCATAACACGTAAAGAAAGCCCAACAGAAAACAAGAAACGGCGGATGCCAGGGCCTCGCCCAGAGGCCACCCGGTCGTTCCCATCGCTGGCCAGCCAGTAGAAGTCGGAAGAGTTTCTGCGAGTTGGCCATTTTTCCGAGCGAGCAAGTCCAAGCGAGAGGCAAGAGGCAGAGGCCAGAAGGGCGGCAGCTATGTTTCACCGCAAGGGAGCGGCAGCCAAGGTAGATCAGAGTCACCAGGGGGTGCGAACTTGCCCGACAAAGAAGAAGAAGAAGAAGAAAACAAAGAGGCATTAACATAAATTGTGGAAGCTCCGCGCGGATTTCTAGGATCGGCGTTGGGCCCTCCCCCTAGAGGCGCGTTCCACGCGCCAGGGACGGGGGGGGTGTCCAGCGCCGATCGAAGAAGTCCCTGCGGACCGCCGAGAAATTATGTTCATGCCGTTTTCGCTGATCCTTCAACCAGGGGCAAGGTCCTTTTCCTTGAATATTTAACTGGGCGCGGAGCTCGGAGAGTTCATCTGCGCATATACTGACAATGATCAGGGGCTGCCCGACCTCGAAACCAGGAATAGCCCGATGAGCTCGCCCAGCGCTGACGCACCGCAGGGCCACAGACGGCAAGTCAGGCTCTACAGTTCGTATGCACATCCGATGCCGGGTGCAGCCGTCCCCGAACCCCCTAATTAGAGGCCTCCTCCTCATCCTTCTCCTCCTCCTCCTCCTCCTCCTCCTCCCCCTCCTCCTCCTCCTCCTCCTCCTCCTCCTCCTCCTCCTCCTCCTCCTGCTCCTCCTCCTCCCCCTTCCTACCCCTTCCTCTCCACCTCCACATCCCCCTCCTCATCCCCCTTTCCTCTCTCCCTCCTCTTCGTATGTCCGAGCGGGGCGCTGGCCCGGAGGCGGAGCTGCAGCAGGGCGACACTGGCTCCTTACCCACGTTGCTAAAGGATTCGCAGCTGCTGTCGGCTCCTCGGCCGCGCCCAGCTTGGGCCGCGCGGGCGGGCGGGCGGGCGACGGAGAGCGTGCAAGATGGAGCGAAGGAGGAGGGAGGAGGAGGGGGATCGACGGGGAGGAGGAGGAGGAGGAGGAGGAGGATCGATGGACGAGGAGGATCGGTGGAGGAGGAGGAGGAGGAGGAGGAGGATCGATGGAGGGAGGAAGAGCAGTAGCAGGAGGAGGAAGAGGAAGAGGAGGAGGAGGAGGAGATCCCTGGCATATTCCTGCAGGCCACTCTGTGGTCCCCTGCCTACACCTTACCAGGGCAGGGGGAGGAGGAAGAGGGGGGACGAGGAGGGGTGGGATGGCAGCGCCGCTTCACGGTACCCACGCTGCCAGCCCTGAGCCCTGAGGAGGAGGAAGGAAGAGGGAGGAGGGAGAAAACGGAGGAGGAGGAGGAGGATCGATGGAAATCTTTGTCGGGTGGAGCCTCGGATCTGAGGGCCGCAGGGCATCTTTCGAAGAACGACAACGGCAGGTGAGCAAAAACTCCCAGAGGTCCGTGCGGGTTTCTTGGATCTGCGCTAGGCCCCCGCCCTAGCGACGCCTCCGGCGCCCCCCTTGGCGCGCTCCGCGGGCTGGGGAGGGGGGAACGAGTTGGTCGGCCTCGGGCGCACACGACGGGATTCAGCGTCGATCCCAGAAGTCCCCGCGGACCTACAAGAAGTTATGTTCGAGCCGTTTTCGTTGTTCCCTGGATTCCTCCTCCTCCTCCTCCTCCTCCTCCCCCTCCTCCTCCTCAAGTCATGGCCAGGGTTAGGGAGCCTCCTGGAGGCTTCTCGTCCTCTCTGGGCCTTCGGGGGCTCCTCGTCGCTGCAGCCTGAACACCCCGGGAGGGGTCCGGGGGGCAGACTTCGAGCGCAGCTCGGAAGGCTCAGGGCGGTGGGGCGCATCGACCCCCAATCGCCCGCTCATCGCCGACAGGGGCCTGATAGCTCACCCCGCCCTGCAACTTGCGGTTTCGCTCTCGGAGGCCTCTCGCCGATCTATCGGCGATGCATCGCCGATGCAAGCGCGATGCTTCTCGTTCTGCTTCCGTTCTGCAGCGAGGGCGGGACGAAGACAGAGAGAGGCACAACGAAAACAAAACGAGAACGGCAAACGCTGCCTGGGTCGAGCCCTGCTTCGGGCGCTGTCGTCGGCGCCGGGAGGTGTTCCAGCTGCGGGCCGGCTCTCGCTGGCTCGTGCCGGGCCGCGGGCTCCCTGCCGGGGTGCCTCCTCCGCGAAGCAAGCCCGCACTTCCAGCCTCGAGTGGCCCGCTGCTCTCTCCACCTCCTCCCCCTCCCCCTCCTCCTCCACCTCCTCCCCCTCCCCCTCCTCCCCCTCCCCCTCCTCCTCCTCCTCCTCCTCCTCCTCCTCCTCCTCCTCCTCGAGGTGGAGGCTTGGGGGAGGAGGCACTGGCTTCCAGGAGCGAAGAGCCAGAGACGGTTGGCGCATGGCGACCTTCTGGTTCGGAAGAGGGCAAGTCGGGACAGCGGCGGTCCTCCTTGACGGAGTTCGCCCTTCCTGGGCATCCTGGAGGCTCCGATCACGGAAGCATTCTTCGTTCGCGCAACGAGGGCCAGTCATCTTTATGGTTATAGCTTGTTGAGCGCCAGTCTTGCGCGTATTCCCTTTACCCATTCGCATCCTTGCCTGTGTTGGTTGCCACATTCTTCATACCCTTTACCAGTCCTTGTCAGCGCTGCTTCATCCTGGCCTGAGGCTGAATCACGTGATGCTGTCGTGGACCAAGGCCCGGGCGTTAAAATATCATGTTCTGCCCCACTTGACATTCATGGCAATGCATTTTGCACGCACCGTATGGAGCTCTTCAAAGCTTATTCAGAACGATGTAACGCTATCCGCCTCTCTCACTGATGTTCTCCCTGACTTCTTCGGCAAAGAGGTACTAGTGGGGAGCTGGTGAAGAGAAAGAAGAGAAGTAGCGGTAGGAGCATGAGCAGGAGGCGTAGGCTAATGAGAAGAAGGATGACGGCGAGTCGTGTAACAGCTTACAACTGATTCTTGTACACTTCAATACCTTCCATACGTTGAGCTGAACACAGGCTTCCCAGTGAGTTCAAGACATTTCATGAACAGACGGCCCGTTCCAGGATAAGGTTCCCCCATCGGCTATTTGAACCGCCCACTCTGAGGAAGTTGTGATTGTCCGTGTCGGGTTGCGCGCGGATGTATCGCGTGACCCCTCTGGGCCCCAGCCCCGTGTGCACAAGGGCATTCGCGATTCCATTCGCTCGGTTGCGTCGCAGTCTGCGGTCGGTTCGGTTCGGTCGTTGGGTCGTTGCTGCGTTGCTGAGCCCTTCTAGGCTACTTGCGGCCTGCCGAGACTCGGTTGCGCTGTCAGCTCCGTCGGTTTTCCGATGTGTTGTCGATGCAGACGGCGTTGGTCCAGCAGCCACGGGGCCAGAAGGCGCCCGGGCCCGAGATGTCAGGGCAAGGATCGGGGCTCAAGGGACGGGGGTCAATGCAAGCGGGGGTCAGCCAGAGCGCCAGATCCTGCAGGATCCTGCAGGATCCTGCGAGATCGTGCAGGATCTTGCAGGGCCTGATTGACCCGGGTCTGGATTGACACGGGTCGGTAGATCCCCAGAAGGAGCTGCCGGTGCTCGGCCACTCTGGGGGGAGCGGGAAGCCGTGCGGAAGCAAAACGGCGGCCGCTCCGCAGGCGGAAAGCGGCGGAAGCCTGCGGAAGCAAAGCTCGGGTGTCGCTCAATGGGGGGGCCTCTTCGTCCTCCTCCTGATCCTCCTCCTCATGCCTGTCCTCCTCCTCCTCCTCCTCCTCCTCCTCCTCCTCCTCCTCCTCCTCCTTGTCCTTCCCCTCCTCCTCCTCCTCCTCCTCCTCCTCCTCCTCCTCCTCCTCCTCCTCCTTGTCCTTCCCTTCCTCCTCCTCCTCCTCCTGCTCCTCGTCCTCCTCCTCCTCCTCCCTCCTCCTTCTCCTCCTCCTCCTCCTCCTCGTCCTCCTCCTCCCTCCTCCTCCTCCTCCTCCTTCTCCTCTTCCGTCTCCTCCTCCTCCTCCTCGTCCTCCTCTGCGCTTTGCAGGCTTGCATGAGTGTCTCACAGTACGATGAGTTTGGTTGTCATAAAGATGAAGTGTGCCAGCGCAAGATTGAGCGCAAGGCTGCACGAACAGCTCGTCTCTGGACGCCATGGTTTCGCCAGCTCCGTTTAGAGGGTGTGCGCATACATGTTCATGATGACTGTGGCGAAAGAGTTGCAGCTGTTTTGAATGATCAGGAGGATTTCAACGCCGTGCAAGCTCATTGGCAACCCATATCTGCTGCTCGCGAGTCGTGTGATGCTGACATCCTCGCCTTTCTGCATTCTGTCTCTCCGCCTGCCCCTACCTTTGACGCTCCCATGCCCAGTGTGGAAGCACTGACGTCGGCGCTGCAGCGTGCGAAGCCAAGTGCTCCTGGTCCCGATCGTCTTCCTTACTCTGCCTGGCTCTCCCACTCTCTCGCCACGTCTATATTGCATCGCGTTCTCGTGCATATATACTCAGGCGGCATCTTAGCGTACGAAGCTAATCATTCACTGTTTGCTTTTCTCCAGAAAGAGGAGGACGAGCTGGACGCGGTTCGGATAACTCGGCGGAGCCAGGACCTCCGTCCGTTGAGTCTCAAAAACAGCGATGTGAAAGCGATTAGTTCAGCAGTCAATTTCACTTTGAAGCCACTTGTAGAGCAACGAGTGCATCAGAGTCAGCAGGGGTAGATCACTGGTCGTAACTTCGCTGGTAACATACCCTTGCTAGACGCGGAGGCGAGGCGCGCTGGCTGGCTTGGGGGCGGCTCGAGCAAACGCATGCTTCTCCTCTCTGTCGGCTTTAATGCAGCGTTTCCTAGCCTGAACCGCCGCTGGCTGGAGCTCACTTTGGCCCATTATGGCGTGCCGCTCGTTGTTCTTTGGGTTATACAAGCACTCTATAATGCTCCGATTACCTTCGCGAGGTTCGGGGATACGCCACTCACTCCGATGTGCGAGCTCGCCAACGGCGTGCTGCAAGGCTGCCCCTTGTCTGGCAGTCTCTGGGCGCTGTGAATGGATCAGCTGTTTCGCCTTCTGCAGCTGCGTTTTCCCACGCTTGATCATGGCGTGGTGCGAGCTTGTGCAGACGACATCGGCCTAATTCTATTGTGCGCATCGCAGCTCACCCTGATTGCGAAGACTGCTAGCTTCGTTGAAAAGCTCGCTGGCCTCGCGCTTCAGCCTGCCAAGCGTGTGGCTGTCCCGTTGTGGGCCCCGTTTTCGCCAGAGGTGCAGAGCCAAGCCCGCCGTGATCTCGAGGGGGCTTGTGACGGGTGGCACGCGCCCCAGGTGTCGGATGCGGTGAAATATTTGGGGGGTTGGCTCTGCCCAGGAGCGACCGCAGACTTTCAGTAGAAAGTTCCGCCTGGGGAATGGTGGAAGCGTATTCATCTTGCCAGCCTCACTCGTGCTCCTCCTTCTGCCTTCACGCTTCTGTACTGCTACCCTTCCTACCTCGAGTCATGTCTCCCAGCTGTTCCTGCCCATCCCGAGGCTGCTGCGGAGAGAGACTCATGGATTGCATAAGGTGTACAGGCTCCCGCAAACTGCCATGAAGCGCTCGAATCCTGTGTCCCTGAAGGCTTGGTGCAGAGGAGGAGGGCCCACCGCCATATTGCCGCTCTCTCTTGCCTCCATGTGGCGCACGTGCGCTACGATTTTATCGGGATGGCGAGTGCATTTTCATAGGTTGCGAGAGGCTGCAGAAAGTTTCGCCCCGCTTCCCTCGTTTGTTGGTCAGCACTGGTCGCCTGCTTGGTGAGGTGAACAGAAAGCAAGTGTGCAACGATTCGAAGATAGCTGCCAGTGCAAGCCGATCTGTTTTTCCAGGTCATGCTCTGTTTCTGCGAGCATGATGCACACTGCTGCACGCATTGGGCGGGCGGGGGTCGTGCGGGCGGAGGCGGAGGGGGGGTGGTAGACCTAAGGTGCAGCGTGCCGTTTGTGTTGCACTTACCCAGGAGTTGTATCCCGAGCAGCTTGTTGACACGATTCGCAAACGTTTGAGCACATGATATCCCGACCTTGCTATTCCCCGTGGCCTCTCCTCCCGTTGGTTCTTCCTCCGCTCGTACCTCAGCAAATGTAAACCCGTTGTGCGCTGGTGTGTCCTGGAACTCTTAGTGGAGCGTGGACCACCAGTAATCGAATGAATGTCGCTCCTGGTTCTCACGCTTGCTTGCTGGGATGCCCAAACTGCGTAGACTGTGCGCAGCACTAATTAGTTTGTGACAAGTTGCTTGAGCTTGTGGCTGACCAGCAGGCGCCAATGAGTTCGGAGGTCTTAGTTCGACTGGGCATGGGTGGCGAGGAGGGGCACGCGGGTCAGTTTTCACTCGCTCGCGTCGTTCGCTCTCTCCCCCTCGCCTTCTACCTATGTCACGTTACGAAGGGAGAGACCAGCGCTCCTCCTCACGATGTTACTTTCGTTTCGGCTGCCGCACAATTTCGAGCAATCGCCAGCCAGCGATTGCGAGTCGGGTATGTGACTGGGACTCTTATCAGGGGACGTTTCCTCCTCCTCTTCCTCCTCCGCCTCCTCCTCCTCCTCCTCCTCCTCCTCCTCCTCCTCCTCCTCCTCCCCCCCCCCCCCCTTCTCATTATCATCAGCATCCTCATCCTCATCATCATCCTCATCCTCATCCTACTCCTCCTCCATCCTCCTCCCCCGTCCTACTCCTCCTCTTACCCTTCCCCTGAGACAGTGAGACGCCGCCTTGCTGGGATTCGTGGCTTCCAGAGCTGGCTACAGCTTGGCATCGCTCGCACGTGTGTGCGTTTTTTTTCTCGGCGAGGAAAATCGAGGAGCATCCTGGATCATCGAACAAAAAACAAAACGACAAACAAAACAAACAAACACACACACACACACACACACACACACACACACACACACACATTCGAAAAATGCACGGGGAATGGACGTCCGAGCGATGGCAAGATGGGAGGGGACGATGTTGCGGGGTCATGCGGAGAATCCATACGGGAGGGCGAGGCGGGGGGGGGCTCCTGCAGCAGGACCACATGGGTGGACCATATGAATGGAACAGAATGCGGCATACAGCACTAAGCATCTGCGCCGATCGAATGCGAACCGCGAAAAAGCCGCAGTAGTACAATGGAGACGGCTTGGTAACAGTAGCCCGTACGCCCCCCAGCATGTCCTTCCCACGGTGCAGCATGAAGGCGGACATGTGAAAAAAAATGTCTTTACATTGAAATCTGGAATGGTTTCTCTGCCGATGTGGTATACATTCGTTCTCATATGTTTGACCTGGTTCTCGTGTTGGGGTCTGGCGCGATCTTGAATTACAACTAGTGGATTAAACAAATGTTGTGCATGCGGCACGATTGGGCTACTAACTCACGTGCTCATCAATCAACGCGCCAATCGACAGCCTAAAAGTATTTCTCACATCCGCAGGCAAATCTTGCGCGCGTTGTCAAAGCACCCATCTATTACGCAATCGATGCGTAAGCGTCAGCGTGTCGGGCGACGCACATCCTGAAGTTCAAAGAGCTCGCTTGCAGGTTTCCCAATGGCGTCCCCCGATCGACAACTCGATTCCAAAAGTTGCGTCTTGAATAACCCTCAACGTTTCTGTTATGTGCGAGTTGAATATGACACCCCGAACACTGACATACTTACATGGACTATATTTTACTTTGGGTGTCCCATACAGTATTGCATAGAGCGCAAATGCA